CCAATATGGCTTAAGAAGTACTTAAAACCTTATCTTCACACTGAGACAGATGTGTGAAAAAGCATTTAATTTGAAAGTGAGATGGACTTACGTTTTTTTGGATCTAGAAAAGGCATTTGACAACCTGGAACAAGCTCTGAGACTGCTTGTCAGAGAAAAACATCACAGCACCCCTGATCAGTGCTATAGTTTCTATAAAAGCAGCAGAAATTATGTAAGAATGGCAGACCAAAAGTCAGACGAATTTAAGACCACTAGCGGTGTTAGACAAGGTGATATTCTCTCACCTTACCTCTTTATTCTTATGATGGATGATGTCAACAAGACCTATAAGGAGAAGACAAAGAAGTATTCTGTAGGCTACTGGAAGATGAGACCAATCTGTATATCAGAGCTGGCATTTGCAGACGATGTGGCCCTGATAGCTAAATCAGAGGCACACCTTCAGTCCAACTTACTTGTCTGGAAAGAACTTGAGAAAAGAAGGATGATCATCAGTATCTCCAAAACTAAAACCATGGTGATCTCAAGAGAGGAGAAGAAACACCAGATCATGATGGGACAGTATGCATTGGAGCAGGTCAGCCAGTTCAAATACCTTGGAGTTGTAGTAGACCAAAATTGAGGAATTAAGACAGAGTTGGCTACACGAAAAGCAAAAGCTGAGAGACTCTTCCAGGCCATAAACCGAGTACCCTGATGAATATTGATTTGCACCCATAGATGTAGAGATAGGACGACTCGTTTTCTTCATTCTTTGCATTCATCGGCTGTAAACTCCAGTGGAAAAATTTGGTTATTCGCCCACCTCTGGACTTTAGTCTTGTTCCAGAACTTGAATTTTTGTGTGCACATCCACTTCACAGATCTAGCTTATTTGTCTGCGGTTTCTTGCATCTCTCGCAGATGAAGTCCAACTTTGAAGGAACATAGTGCAAAGATGTTGATTTTGTTAAAGTCGAAAATTCTAAGATATTGCTTATTCCATTATGAGAATGTACTGTTGCATTGTAAATAGCTCTAATTGTTTAAATTTCCTTTGTCAGTATCCTGCAGTCCAGTGAATTAATTGCACATGCCATGAAACATCAGTATATTACATTTTTATTGTTATGGGCTTTGGTCTTGTTACAGTGCCTAAGTTTTGCACACACATCAGTCTCACAGATCTAGTTTATTTGTATGTACTCTTGGTTTGTCGCCTCTAGGGTAGATAAACATAAGACTTCGGAGGAAACATCCCCAATTATCAGGGGGCAGCGGGTCTACTATCTCTTTTCTGCCACATGGGTGTCCCTGAACCCACCAATGGAGGTATCCAGGTTTATCAAGGTCAGTATGTCTTTTCCAAGGTCAAATTCCAGGTCAGGGCAGCAATTTCCAGGCTAAATTCAAGTTTCCAGGTCCCCTACGAACGCTGGGTGTGGCAAAGTGTACTTCTGTTAATTACTTGTTTTTCTTAACCGTCTCACCATCGATAAGGTGGCGTCTTCACAGTGAAAGGTGGCTGTAGTCTTCAACATGCTGTGTCTATCAACCTGTATTATATACTTTTATGACGGCTGTTCATCCACCTCTTGATGTCATGTACCCACTTGTTTTGATGTCTGCCTCTTGCCGCCAACCCCCTCCCCCGTAGAATGCTAAATGTTAAATTAAGAATCAACATCGTAGCACTTGGAATGCTCCCATATGCGCTCCGACCTTATCTTTAACAGCAAACGAAGAGTTCCAATTCCGATGGCACCAGTAACTGTCTGATTGTATATCCACCTAGTCTTTCCATTTAGTGTTAAGCGTAGACCAGATCCAGTGTTAACTCCATTCTCCTTAGATCAGTATGAACTGCTTGTGCCTACACACTGTTCACTCGCTCTTTCTTGTGCCTACACACTGTTCACTCGCTCTCAAAGGACAGTGGGAAATAGTCTAACTAAATGCCATCATGGCTACGACTTTCATTATAATTAATTGGAGTCACCCCTCTTTTGCTTTTTTTTTATTTCAACACTTGAACCATCCGTTGCGGAAGAGCCCCAAGAAGACTGGAATAGAAAATTACAAATATATTTTTTTAAACAATCCCGCGGGGACTAAAGCCAGGACCTTCCGCACAATAGTTAGTGATAACCATTACAGGTTATGTGCAGATACGAGTACGTTGTACTGTCACATTGTGTAATCTATGCGGATATTTAACTCTCCGAGTCCCAAAAAACGCATCATACGTTCACAGGTTGCTACCTAGTAGCCCAATTACTCATGATCGCTGATTTTATGACTCTATTTACTATCCCTTGGGCCTGTGATGCTAAACCCATTAGGACTCAAAGTGATCTGGGATACCATTATTCTGTCCAAAGAGTGTAAAGGATAAGATAGATGATGATGGACAACAGGACTCATATCACATCTAGCGGACCTGTGACAGACGAAGCTACAGCGCCCTGCCAAGTTAAAATGAGTTCCTGCCCAGGTCGGTAATTATCAGAAATATGCAGAAGCCATGCTGCACACAGCACAGCTAACTTACATAACTGCCGAAAGATTGACATCTAAACTGATTATTGTAATGTTTCTCGGGTTGTGTTTATGTTTACGCTAATAGAATTGTTAGCAATGAGCTGCAATAAATTAAATTTATAGCGAAGGTGTTGGCTGGCAAATTCTTTATCTATCGAGTGTCTTCTGTACATACATCTTTTGAATTTTCTCAAAGCCATCTGCTAAAAATGATTTTCTTTTTTACAAATTTTCCTTGAGCCCAGTTCGCAGAAAGTGTTCTGCTCTTTAAGTTTTAGTAAAGTTGTTTTATAAGTGTTCCGCAGATGAGTAAAACCCTTGTAAACACTTGCTATTACCAGAATAAGCTTACCAATCTTTCAAAAACTCCTGTGGATGCACCTAACCCCTCCCTAGGATGGGAATAACTGTTTTAAAATAATTTGCTGGCATCTTTCTGTCTTTCCAGATGAAGGTTCTATGTGCAATGGGGAAGACTCAGGAACCATAGTCCATGTTGATAGCAAGTGTGACTATCCCGCCCGCATCAAGCAGCCTTAAGGCCAGGGTTAAAGTTCTTCCTCTCCATAGCACAAACAGCTTGAGTGGTATTGTAGTGATCATGTGTTATACAACATGATCCCTGTCTCCGCCTGCCTGGTATTGTAGAGATGTGTTATACAACATGATCCCTGTCTCCGCCTGCCTGGTATTGTAGAGATCATGTGTTACCCATACAACATGATCCCTGTCTCCGCCTGCCTGGTATTGTAGAGATCAAGTGTTACACATACAACATGATCCCTGTCTCCGTCTGCCTGGTCTACTTCAAACGAAAGGTAACAAAGAAGCTGTAACAATATCATCATTTATCAATGCCTTGCTGACTGGTGCGGGCAATCAGGCCTTTCTACAATCTGCAACTGCATTCACAAGTTAGTGTTGACACCTTTCCATGCCATAACATAAGGTTGTCAAGAATCTTCTCGTGGTGTCTTTCGCTGCCTCTTTCCACAGATCTTTCCAGCAGTCATATGTTTTATTTGCCTCACCTCTTTCAAAACTTCCAGTTCCCTTTTGTTCAGCAGGCCCCTAATGATGAAGCTACTGCACAGCAGCCCAAATGAGATGGAAAGATTAGAAAGGAAGTGAAAACAGCAAACAAATGCAGGATTCTGGAACAACTGTATTTTTAATTACTTTTTTTTTTTTAATAAGTAATGACAGCAGGTGGCTATTTACACAAGATTATGTCAACATTTTACGTTCCATAACAAAATCCACTCCATTGCGTTTTCACCTCTAAATTCATTTGCCATCTTGGCTTATCATCGTTCATGATGATAGGGACAGGAAACATAAAATAAATGTAGTAAGGAGGATAACTAAACACACACACAAATTGATAAATTTAGGCTAGAATTCCAAAACAAAGATAAGGAAGAAACCACCCCTCAAAAAAATTTTTTTTAGATTTAGAACGATGAGATACGATGACATGGAAGAGTTCCAGTGTTAACAATACAAAGTTAAATGTAGGAAAATGAATAATAATAACAACAATAAAGTTAATACACTGAATTAAATGATGAAAACAAACAACACCACAGAAGCAGTGAACAATGACCAAGAGAAAAATTACACAAAAGTCAAACTGGGAAATAAATATTCACCAGTGTTGAAGGTGGGCGGAGCAAACAATATGCCTATTACAGGATGAGGCCAATTTATAGAAGAAACGTAAATAATATCGCTGAAATCATTTTCAACAGATAAACACTATTTGAATAACTGATTAAACTCTTTTGGTCAGTCTAAGGGGATTCCCCCCCCCCCCCCCCCCCCCCCCCCCCACCAAAAATAAGGGACCCCTTCTAGCTAGTGGTACATGGGACATATGATGCTAAAATTTAGCCAATAACAGGTGATGTGGTTAATATTGCCCCGGCCGCATTCACTTCTCATAGTAGCCATTTTAAATTGAAGACCTGTCTAGCAGGCCAGAGTCAAGCCATTACAACACAACAGCTCCCTCTTCTGCCTGTCATTATCACCATGACTGCTATCTACAGGTTCGCGGTACCCTCCTGATATTTACACACAAAAATGCTACATCCGGCGACGACAGACCCCCCAGACCTCTATAGAAGTTATATTTGGGCCATACTAACACCTACACCAGCCAGAAGACACCTGCAGTCCTGTGCAGGTAGGGTGATTACAAACTTTTAAAACAAACTGGGGCAGGCAACTCCTGCCTGAGGATTTAGTGTAGTGTGGCTGGTTCTGTCGCTACAAACTATACCAATACAATTTCTGTCAATACTGTCAAGAATGTTTAGCTTTCTATTAGATCCTAAACAAAATCCCAAAGGTGCAATTTTCAGAACCAGTTACAGTACTACGAACTGTTCAAAATGAACATAACAATAAACTGTATGTATTCTTTAACTAAATAAATCATATACATAAAATGCTTTGCTCAAAATGTTGGATATCTAACTAGGTCCTGTCTGGTTCTGTCCTTTGAAGCTGACCTGTTGAAGTAACAACAAGAAAGTTTTTAAAACTGAAAAACTACTCACCATAATTTTTGTTTTTAAACTTATTAAAATTGTCTCTCATCTCTTAAACAAAATCAAGATTATCATTCCTACATGTTTAAAGTGATGCTCTGTGGCTTATTAATGATCCTCAAGTACAAGGTTTCTATTTCTATGGCAGGTGGTTTATTTATCTTTCTTCACTCCATTCTCTAGTTGTTGGTTTTTATTTTTAAACAGATCTTTTTCTTTGCATTCACCAGCTGTAAGCTCTGGCTCTTTGTCCACTTCTGGCCTGCAGTCCTGAGTCTTGCGTGTAGATGTTTTACAGATATGCCTCATTTGTATATAGATTGTGGGTCCCTTGCCTCTCAGGCAGAAGCACTCAGACTTCAAAGGAAACTTCCAATTATTGACCAATAACTGATCATATTAAATAATTAGAAGACTCTTTTGTCATGCTTTTGAGTAGGCAGTGCGTCTATTCTTTCCCCCCTATAATAGTGCCCCAGAACCCACACAAGGATTTAACAATAGTAAGATAGGGCACAACAGTATGAGCTGTGTCCCTGTAGCTTTTCATCAGAAAATGCTCAGCATGTGCTCCAACACTGTTAACTGTCAACAGAGACGCAATCTGGCCTGTTCCAACCACAATAAAGACAAAACTGTTTGGTACATGAGAAGATATGGACTGTTTAGTAGTTTTCAGAAAGGCTACCGGCCTCCTGATTTTTTCTGACAGAAGCATCGAAGAAGAGGTAAAGATAGTTGTTCTGGGGAACAGTGGGAGCTCACCACCTGATGTCCAGCAAAAGATAACTGGTGCACTGCAGCAAACCATTATGAAGGCAGCACTAAATATTCTAAGCTGAGTATGATGATGATAATGATATGTAGTGGGCGTTAAATGTATTTGAAAACAAGTGCCTGATGAAAACAAACATTAAATGGGATGAATCAACAAAAGGAGTAAAGAAATAGAGATATCTCGGCAACCACTAGTATCAATAGTTATAAGGCAGAGGTGTTTTACTGGACACATTTTGAGAAGACGAACATAGACTCGACAAACAGGCACTGGGAAATGAAATGTCCACAAGAAACTAAGGTAAACGCTAAAAAGTGCTGGACTTGATTCAATCCAAAATATCAAAGTGACCGTTAATGGGGGAAATAGACCGAGGCCGTATATAAAACTACAGTTTAGCAATACATGCTTGATGGACCAAAAGCATGAATTCCTTTACATTCTAATTCACTGAACTCAGAAGGCCACCACTTTCACTAGGTTGCCAAAAGTAAAGCCAGGATAACAACAAAAAAAGCCAAAGGATTTTGCTCAGAAAAACTACATTAAGCTTACCTACAAACAGACCAAAAATTTGGAGACAAGATAGGAGGTAACAAATTACACCAGGATTCCTAGTAGTAAATAAATGTGACATGCTAGACAGAGAGTGTGGTCAGAAATAGATCTTAGTGTTCACTGGTTGTAATCTCTGCCACACAGTTCTGGTTTTTCTTCAACTCGGGACTTTAGTCTTGTTCCAGAGCTCGAGTTTTGTATGCAAATCTCTTTTACAGATCTGGCTTATTTGTTTGCAGACTGTTGCGTCCTTGCCTCTCTTGCAAATGCACTCCGACACTTATGGAAACACCCCTAATTATTGACTTGTATAGGACATACTTTTAGGGAGATCAAATCTGCACGGAGCCCGACTTTTCATACAAGACCCTGGCTCCCAGGTCGACTCAGCTTTAAATGGGTACCAGGTAAAGTCACGGGAAGTAAAGGAGGTTAGTGTGACACTGACGACATCAACCCTTGGTCTATATAAAATATGAGTCTACCCTTGCATGCCCTATAAGTCACTGGCAGGTAAAGGGATCTTTAATTTTATGGGGCAGCGGGTCTAAGACACCCATGCTCCATTCCTTCTCCAAAACAGGACCCCAGAACCGTCACAGGGAGAGACAAACAATGAGATTTCTGGCAGTAATGTGGTTCAAGTTGAAAGAACAATGCCGGGTGACATACCTGAAGTACTCGTCCTTGGAAGAAGTATCCATTAAGGCAGTTGACAGCATTCTGGGCCTCCTGGTAATTGGTCATGGTCACAAACCCAAAGCCCTTGCACTGGTGCTTCTCATGGTCCATCATCACATTGACTTTCTGCACTGTGCCAAAGGGAGAGAACAGCTGCCAAAGGGTGCGGTCGGTTGCCTGGAAGCCAATGTTGTACACGAACAAGGTGTAGCTGTTCAGTGGCAGAAGAGAATCACAAGCTAGTGGTCACTGAAGGTGACATAACCTTTAAATGGATATCTAGTGTTTAATTCAATAACCATCCATTTAATCACTATGGCTCCCCATGCGGGTTCCGGGACCCCATTCTGACCCACTGCCTCCCTAACTAGCATGTCATACAGGGCCACTAATTAGGGAAAGTTCTATGAAGTCGGAGTACATCTACCTGACAGGTGAGGAGCCAACAGTCTGCACACAAATAAGGCCAAATCTGTAAAACGGATGAAGTGCATGCAAAACAAAGTTTTGAAACAAGACCAAAGATGCAGTGAACAACCAGAACTTTCCACCCAAATTTACAACTGGTAAATGCTAAGAAGAAATCACGATGGTGTGATAAAGTGCAATGTTAGTTAACTGACCAAGAATCTTCATCACACAAGCCCATAAGTGATCAAAACCCATCTTCAGTATGAATGTATCTATGGAAGAAACAATGGGATTCTAGGAGAGGAACAATCAGACAATAAGAATAATGATAGACACAAAGAGATTACAATTAACAACTTACACTGACCCTGTTAGCTGAGCTTGTGGAGCTCCAGTGCTCTGGCTACTAAAGTTGCCGGCCATTGGGTTGAACCGCTGGAACCGGTTCATCTGGTTCCGCATGGGACCCGGGGCAGCAAAGGTGGGCACAGGTACGTACTGCACAGGTGACTTCTTCTTACTGTTATCATCTGCAAACTTAATCATGATGGGCTCTGTGCATCCATCGGGGGTCTTCCCACTCAAACACTTGATAGCATTGTCCGCCTCATCCCTGGTGTCATACAAGACAAATCCCACACGTTTGCTGATGCCAGTCGACAAATCCACAAGCACGCGAGACTGGATGATTTTTCCGTATGGATCAAATAATCTATTCAATTCAGATTCCTTCCAATGCTGAGGCAGATTGCGGACGTACAGGTTTGCTCCCTTGATCTGCTCACCGCCGGGTCTAGCTAGGGCAACTTTGATTCTTTTATTCTGTATCTGCAAGCCAGACAGTGTTTCGATCGCTCGCTGTGCGTCTGCAGCATGCTGGAAATCCACAAACCCAAAACCATAGCTGTAGCCTGTTGCCTTGTCGCGGACGATCTTGGAACTTTTGACAGGGCCAACACTGAGAAACATGGACCGGAACTCCTCATCCGTCAATGTCTGGGGCAGGTAGTTGATGATCAGGTTGGTGCTGCTGGAGTCTGAAACAAAGCAAGGTCATTCTTATTGCTAAACTATCCCCTAGACTTACTCGGAATGTGATACATACACACATAGACTAGTGTGCCCTCTTTGACACAAGTCACTGTCCACTATTTAAAAAATCCCCATTGGAGGAAACGGGAGGGGATGTCGAAAAAAAAAAATATGCTCTGAAAGGCTATTAATTAGGATACTGTTAAAATCGAATGCGCTGAGATGAAAGGCGCAGATATAGTCTTGCTGCAAGCCCCAAAAGTTTTGGGGCGAACATAATAGTCCTATTGGAAAATGTGAGCGTGGCAGAAATATTATCAAAAACACTATCATCATGGAGGTTCTTTGCAAAATACTGCATGTATAACAGCTCAGTAATAATAAATTCCCTCCGTTGTCTTCTGTATTTTCATGCTGAGACACCTTCACTGTCCTGTGCCCATCCAAACCTCACTTTTTAAGAGTAAATTGCTCCACTACTGCTTTCTACCAAATCCTGAATTTAATACAGCCAAATATTTTAGATTCTAAGGCATAAAACAATGCTGTTTACAAGCCAATTTTCTAGCACTTAAATCATATTTTTCCCTCTCTTGATACATTGTATTCAAAGGAATTTCTATGTACTATTTAATCATAAAATAAGTCCCGACTGAAAAATTTGACCAAATTACACCTCTCATCACAAGAAAATGCATACTCTACATGGTTTCTGTATTAACATAACTTAGGAAAAAAATGAATAGCGATAGAAAAAATTGACATTAGTACTAACATACAGCGTATGAAACCAAAAATAGCACTGCTAGAAGAATCAAGAAGAAAATTAAGTGAAACCCCCCTCAAACAAAGGAAACTACAGAATGCCTAATCCAGTATTCTAGGGGGTGTTATGTGTTGTGTTTTGTCAGCGTTTATGACATCATTCTCGGTGCTTGTTTTTCAATTTTTGGCTACACTGTCAGTATGTGAGTCTTTAATGTTGACCTGTTTGCAAGCCAGAGCTCTCTCTGGTAACTTCATGAATGCTCTTGACCTGTCAGAGCTGGTGCATGACAAGCGGAGCAGCGGTCCTTGCATCTTGCATGTATCCAGACGCTGCTCCAAGAATCATCTCATAATGAGTCACTGACTGGCAGTCCTGATCATTGGACATGCTGGCATTCCAACCGTCAAAAGGACATTGAGGTGAGACAAGGCACTGGGCTGCCTTACAGAGGTGCACATACGCAAAGCATAAGCAACTGTGGAGAGCGGCAAAGGAGAGAAACAGGCAGAATGGGATGCACAAGCTATTCCTATATGTGCGAGTTTGTGTGGCGCAGATGCACTAATGAACTGGCCTCAATGCACTGCCAACCATTTTACCGACACTGTTCTGGCCACCGCAAAAAGTCAGTCGGTGCCAACCGGCAGTTCAGTCACTCAAAAAGATGTATTTGCAACATCTCCAGATCTACTAACCTATAACACTATGAATGTCAACTTACGGGTAACCAAGTAGTATACATGGAGACACCAATCGGGCTGTTATTTTTTCCCAAGTTGTACATTTTTTAGTGCCCCCCCCCCCCCCCCCCCATCTCCAATTCGGAATTCCTTGCACAGAGTTTATTCACACAAAACACAGAGAATGTTGCAGAACACAGTTCCCACAAAGTTGTGCACACAAAAATTTGCATGCAGGTCACTTTTTCCACTCAGTGCACACGTACACTTTTCCTCAGATTATGTGAACAACAAACGAAGTCGTGTAGTAACACCCCTAAAACAGTGAACTGGACTGGGGAATTCCTCTGTTTGTGGTCACATAAAATTATTGTACCAAAAATTCAGTAACAAACAGTAACAGCAGTTCTACAACATTAAAAGTAACTTAAAATGATAAAAAGATGGTACTGAAACAGCAGTTAACAGTGAAAAAAGTCTTTTCTATGCCTTTAGGCGTATTGGGCACATAGGGCATTACCTATATTTTACAGACCTAATTGACACTGTCAGTAGGTGATGTGGTCAACTGTCTTTACTTCCCAAGACTTTACTTGGTATCCATTTAAGGCTGGAATGACCTCTATCAGGACTCATCCACGACCTTTGGATCCAAAGGCGAGTATCTAGCCGCTACATCAGGGTGGCTCTGACAATTAGCAGTGACATAGAAAATAGTAACAGCACATCCCTGTATGGGTTCCAGGGCCATTTGTAGGGAAAACAAAAACAGACCCACTGACTCCCTAACAAGCATGTTGCAAGAGTTGACTAACTGGGAATTCCTTTGAAGTCTGAGTGCGTCTGCCTGAGAGACACGGGTCCAACAATCTGCATACAATTAAGTCAGATATGTTAAATGAATGTGCATGCAACAACCAGGTTCTCAAACACGACTTCCAAGTGCAGAGGTGGACAAACAACCAGAACTTTCTGCCAGAGTTTACAGCCAGAGAACGCAAAGAAGAAAAAGAGTAACAGCATCCAGTCAGAACAGACAAGATCTTACCATCAATATGATCGTCCATTGTGCTAACTGCTCAAGTCTTGTTCTCTGGGTACAACGGATGGGCTGAGCTATTCTACTACAGGTCGGCGCCATCATGGCAGGCAAGGGTTGGTAGAGAGAAAAAAAATTTAAACAAAAAAAAATTTAAATCCTCCTGAAGGAAAAAAGAGAATTATGTAAAATTTTTAAAGTTCTTGTTCTGAATTTGTAAATGTAAAACTGGCGAGTTGCGTTAACAATAATTATCACTCTCTGATAAATTACCTTTTGTATTAAGTGACAAATGGGAAGAATTCAATAGTAGTGAAGAAGTAAGAGAAATGTCTGGGCAGCCACGAGAATCAACAGTTTTAAGGCAGAGAAGATGGCCCTGTATTGGACTCATTCTGAGAGACAAGCATAGAATCATCAAACAGGCACTGAAATGGGAAACTAAGGGACTGAGAAAAACTAGGCTGCCCCAAGAGAAACCTTAAAGCGAACACTGACAACAGAAGCCAAAGGTCTGTAAAACTGATGCACACGCAACACTCAGGTTCTGGAGCAGGACTGCAGTCCAGAAGTGGACGAACAACCAGAACTTTACGCCAGAGTGTACAGGTGGTGAACGCGAAGAAGAAGAAGCCAAAGGTGCTAGACTGGATTCAATTTAAGATATCAAACCTAAAGACATAGCGGAATGGAGAAATTGACTATTATGAATTGGCACAGCAAGAAAATGAATGAATGAAGTAAAGGAATGGACTGTCCACTCGATTGGTGCATGGTGTTAGACCTAAAGTTTATACACCAATCAGTACTCAGCAGGTGAAGTCAAAGTTTACCCCAGCCACCATTACTTTCCATCACATTCCTGGGTGCTCATTTCAAGATGGATCAATCAACCTGTCTAAGTCATGTATAAATATCCTCGTCAATATCAATTCATAATATTTACTGTGTGTCCAAGCTAGAATGATCAAACAATGGAAACTGTCATTACTTGGCTTTCTTTCAAGGAAACAAAACAAAATGCCCTAAAAGATTCACATTACTATTGCAGCTTGTTTCAGTGAAAAAGACAAATTCTGATCTTGTTCAAGTAAATTGTTGACTAAATTGCGATCTTTATCTTGCTACACCTCCTATGATGGCACTTCTTGAGTTCCTGTTGGGTATTTCTGTACATTTTATTATTTTCAATAACAGTTGATTTCTAACTGGGTGCTTCTCGTCCATGTCTGTCACAGCTTTTGGTGGAGGAACCCACTGTTGATCGTACAGGTTTTACCAAATAAAAACTAGTCCCTATCAGGACACAGTGGCACCCCCACCCCTCAACCCCCGACAGGGCAAACATGCGGAAACAATTATGTTGTCTAGGGTCCAGGGTGTTGATTCTATGATACTTGAAATGTAAAGTCTAAGATAAAATGTACACCCATCTTCTCTTGGTGCTGTCAACAAAAGCAAATAACCTTACTGCGCAAACCTCGAGTGCACCTCTGCTGACAGATGGCAGTGATAAATAATGTTTTAGTGGACAGTTATCGTCAGCTATGGCAAGGTTACTGACTGCACTGTAGAAGCAAAGACTGAATTATTACAGGTACAGTATAGCAGAGTGGAATTACACTTTTTCAGGTAACAGGGTAGACATATCTGAGAAAACACGTTTCAATGGGGTGGGTGGGAAGGGGGGAAATAAGCTTTCATATCAAACTAACAATATTTAAATCAATACTAGATAGTCAAATCAGTACTGTACTGTACTGCTGAATGGAGAACTGACTATGAACAAAATACAAACATTATTTAATGTATAGTTGCAGAGATGAATGACAGAACTTTCACTGTGTAGCTCACAGAAAAAGCTAAATTCTAATTGAGAGATGAGAAAAAAAAATGCAAGCTGGCAACAGATGTGATCTTCACTGAGAAAACACATCCACTGTATAATTAGATACCTTTCTCTGGAATACACAGCAAAAACATCTAGATGGAGACCTACAAGGCACTAACAACCAGACAAATCTGAAAGGATAGAGAAATAGCTGCAGGATACAGCACCAGGATTAGGCATGTGTTGATTGATAGTATGTGCTCCATTAGGCAAAAAACTTAATTGTTCTCACGGATAGGAAGCAGATATCAAAATGACAAATTAAACTGCAAAAAAAAAAAATTCAAAAGGTTACAGTAACACTGCTTTTGAATCTGCCAGGCTCCTAGAATGGTATTTGCGGATCCATTTTGTGTGTGTGTGTGTAAATGTTAAAAGACACATCACTTCTTAACAAGCATGTTGTAAAAGGTGACATGAAGGAATTACCAAAATCGGATGCATTGGGCAGTTATCCCAGCTTAGATGTAAACCACAACACAAGACAGATCGCCATTTTAGAACACGAATGCAGAAAAAAACCTGCCTCCTTAGTGAGGGTACAAGTGAATTTGTAGTGAGCTCAATCAGAAGAAAGCTGGCAAAATATTTCTAATACAGCTGTATAATCAGCTACAATCTGTCAAACCATCCCATAACAACCTACACTACTATTCAATGAGGAGAAAAGTATTAACTGCACTAGCTCTTTCGAGTCATAATTTGAAACTAGAACCAGTACTGTATTGCATGCTTCTTCAAAAAAAAAAAAAATCTCAGCAGTAACAAACTACAACAGCAATATTCCTTTACAATTCTTTTATCATTTTTATCTTTACATCGTTTTTACAATTGTGTGTGTAATTAAGAAGAAATTTCCAAAAAAAAAGGACCAGAAAAAAACTGTCTTTTAAGCATTAGGCAAATTAAATATTCAACAACTTATGCAAACTAATCAACCTATTTGAACAGACTGTCACTATCATAGTTCACAGAAATGAAACAACAGACAAACAAAAATAATGTAGTAAATTAAACATTTTTTAGAGAATAGAAAATGAAAATAACCAGAAAAGTTGTAAAACACAAAAATTATAATATGTGATTATGCATTGTAACTATAATGAATTCATAACAATTATTAAAGAAATATAAATATATTTACCCTTTTCTAAAATCCGAAAGAAAAAAATTTCAGTTAAAATCTAAAGAAAAAAAAAAAGATAGGTAAAATATGAAATACATTTCAAATACAAATATAAGTAAATGACAATAAAGACAAATAATGTAAACAATAATGGACTGCAACACAGCCCAAACAAACTGCCTATGTATCATCAAGTGACTGGAAGAAGAAAATTACGGTAAACATTATTTCACTTTAGCTTTGGTCAATAACTTATGACGGAGTTATAAAGCTATGCTGACAAAAATTATGTTTTGACAATCAGCAGTGGTTTCTTTATTAAACAGTAGTCTCTGGACTCTCAAATGAATAAATGTGTTAATGTTATGTGTGATCACTAGATATAGCAGGCTGATATATTAGCTGCTGCCGCTCTTCCATCAGTGAGCTACTTTATGATAAAGCAAACTTGAGATCAAACGGACAGTGCAAAACAAATAAGAGAATCCATACAAGGAAAAGGGGGTGTAGAGGTTATGGGAGATATTAGGCCCTTAGGGAGGAACACAGACGGACTTGTGATGAGGTTGTAACTGGTACTGGTGGCATATCGTCTCTTCACTGGCTACTGAATAAGGGAAAGGAGTATATATGTGCCATGTCTGAAGTTATATCCATTCATTCATTATTAGATAGGCTTTAGAATGTGTGACTATTAAATGTGATTCAGAAGTAGTGACTATTAGGTGAGTTTCAGAATATGTTCATTAGATGTGATTCAGAATGTGAAAATCAGGGGTGATTTGAAATGTGTGATTATTAGGGCTATTCCAGAACATCTGATCTCGTAAGATGTATTTCCGAATGTATGAGCACAAATGTATCTGGTGTGTTCATAATCTGCGACTGTATTAGGTGTGCTTCTAAATATGTGACTTGTATGCTTTTGTAATGGCATAGGAAAAGTCAGCCCTGGTTCTAGTGCTGCTACAGAGTCAGACATGGGTTCTAAGGGAAGCGATTTGTATCGCCAGTCTTGGCAGTTGGATTTCAAGTTATTTATTCCTCAAGTTGGAAGCAGTCCCTAATATTTAGTCCACATGGTGATCTACTCAAGTGAATTATAGATTGGGACCTGGCTTGTCTGCTGATAGATCAGATGCTCTTTCCCTTCAAAACTGTTTCCCAATGGATGGTTTTTGTTTGACAAATAATAAGTTGTAATATTTGGTATGCAGCATATGGTTCAGTAATTTTTAGAATGTGTTTAGTCTACACAATATATGCAAAAACAGCACAGACCTACTGAAAAAAATCATGAATTTATTTCAAACAGATTAAAAATTATTTTGCTTACTTTAAAATTAAAATATTCACTGCAATTTAGGAACTAAATACAGCCCATTTTTCAATTTATGCAATATAATAATTATCAGCAAAATTGGCCAAGTCCTTTTACTATAAAAACTATTTTTTTTGGAGTCACAAATATTTCTGACTGAAATTTGAAAATCTGTTATTTCAAACTAAAACATTTCTAGACAACATCAGCACAGATAAAACATCTGTTTACAATTATCATGGCAGTAAATTCAATAGAAGCTAAATTTTTAAATGGCAAGCACAATTACTGGATTTCATTTACACTACCAGAAATAAAAGACATGATAAGGTAAAGCATATACAGAGTTTAAAAATTAAGTTTCTGGAAGGACAATCACACTATTGTTGTTAGCCGTTACAAAAATGAGGAGGTAGAGGCTAATTTAAAAGTCTTGGATACACTAACAAAAATTATGGCTGTTCAGCTGAGATACTGATATGAAATATATGCAATATATATGAGACGGGGTGTGTGTGCAGGAGGGGGTGGGGATTGTGGCATTAGTATTATTTGGACTCTTTCAAATACCGGTCCCAAATGATCCACTGTTACAATAATCCCAGTCAGGGCCTCAAGAGGTCATATATAAAAAACTTTGGAATTGGAACACTATGATCTATGCTTCACGTTATTATAAAATTTCATTGG